GGCCTTCCCGAGGTCCAGGCAACTACATCTTTCCTTTCAGCTGCTAGTTTAAACAGGGCTTTCACCAGTGCCACACAGTTAAATGGAACTGAGTCTGAGCGCAGGTGAAATTAAGGGATTCTGACAGAATCATATTTGAAAACTAGAAGGGACAACTACCAAGGAGGAATGTCTCTGCCAAGGATTCACAGCCAGAGGAAGACTTTGGCCAACAAATCAAGAGAAATTTGCTTTTTTACTGTTAGCCTATATGAAAGTGCAGAATCATCAGCAAAAGACTGTTGTCAGTGAAGAAAAATTTTAATTGGAGAACTACATATATAAGAGAGAGAAAAAGTTGTATCTGCTACCATTAGCAACATGGCTGAGAGCAGTAGAGGTGGGAAGGACATGAAGTCAAGACTGAGAGTATGAATAGACAGACAAAGAACTAACAGAAGAAACAAGACAAAGAAAAACATTTCAGAGCCTCATCACTACATGTCTTCCCTGCTATAGGAATATAATCACTTCAGCAAGCGTGCTGCTGGATTTCTCTATTTCTAACAGAACATACAGATCTGGAACAGTGCATACACCTCTGGTTTCAGTAGTGCTACTTTTAAGCTTCATTTAAGGTTTCAAGGTTCACTTAAAGCACTTTGTATCTCAGTGTCCCATTCTGTTATCCCATAGCCATCAGCATTTTTCATGTTGTCAGTGCTTGATGCTTCTGGCTTGTTCGTTTTAGCAGTCTGTCTTCAACAAATCCTCTCTCACAACCCCTTTTACATTTACATACTTACTATGCACTGATGTTTCCTGAACATCAAAATGCAGCCATACTCTGGGAGATGTTCTGATGATAATCAACTCCCTGAGTTTTTGTTTAGCCTTTCTGGCGCCATCTGCTGGCACTTTTCAGTACAACACTTCACAATATTTTCCCTGAACCAATATGCCAGTGGTGGCAAACCTATGCCACACATGCCAGAGGTGGAACTCAGAGCCCTCTCTGTGGGCACACGAACCCTCACCCCAGCACAGAGTTCGCCAGAGTTCGTTACTAGAAAGACAGAGGGACGTGGTACACTGCGATAAATAAGTGGGTTTTGGGTTGCAGTTTGGGCACTTGTTCTCCAAAAGGTTCGCCATCACTGCTATGCCTTTCCAATTTGCTAAAATATATGCTTACTTTTCCATTCTTATCTATCTTAGTGAAGAAGTCTTCATTGATTTAAAGATTCTGGATCTATAAATCATGCATGAGGTTCATTGAAAAGGTAAAGGTTTTCGCTTGACATGAATGTCTAGATCAAGGGTAGGCAACCTTTCCCCTTTAAGGGCCGAGGGACTTCAGCTCCCAGAAGCCTCAGCCATGTTGGCCAATAGTCCCATGGTGGCCAATAGCTCCTGGGATTCTGGGAGCTGAAGTCCCTCGGCCCTTAAAGGGGAAAGGTTGCCTACCCCTGGTAGATGTAGCCAACTGTAGGGGGCAGTGCTCATCTCCATTACTAAGCTGAAGAGCTAGCATTGTCCAAAGATGAATCCAGTGGTCATGTGGCCTGCATGATTGCACAGAACTCTGTTTACCTTCCCACTGAAGTGCTACCTATTTATCTACTTGCACTTGCATGCTTTTGAACTGCTAGGTTGGCAGAAGCTGGGACTAGTGGCAGGAGCTCTCCCCATGATGCAGCACATGGGCCTCGAACTGTCAACTAAGCCACCACATCCCCCTATGAGGATCATTGCCATGGATTATTTTGGGGAAATCATCTTCATCTATCATAAATCATCTACTTCTGGCTTTTCCTGTTTCAGTTCCTCTGGGCAATATCTTTCTGGTTTATTCAGAAAACATTCTGACAAGGATTTTCTCCTTTAGTTTCCCCTATGGAAGTGGCAGCAATTTCAGTGGCTAAATCCTTCTGATAAGATCAGGATGCCGCCCACTTTAAATTTTAAACTGGATCAGGTAAACCAGTTTTAAAATCAATGCAATAATCTTCCATGTTTCATTCTATGAAAAGAAAGCATGTTAAATAACAATCACTGTTCTATGTACACTTCTTTTCCCCCAGACATGCCAACTGCTGTAAGTGCCCACCAGGACAATGGCCTAGCCATTTACAAGACCGATGTCTCCCAACCATCTTTGACTTCTTGTCCTACACCGAACCCTTCGATGCAGCCCTGGCTACATGCAGTTCCTTGCTCTTCTTCCTCTCACTCTCCATCTAATTAATCTTCATACTTTACCGCCACACCTACCTCCTCTTGACTTCCCTGTCCCTCTGTTTCCTCTGCCAGCTGATGTTCCTTGGAAGTCCATCCTTGCTCCCTTGCTCCCTTCATCAGGCTGCCTTTGGCCTCATCTTTGCTCTTTGCCTCTCTGCAACACTGGCCAAAACCATGACAGTAGTGATGGCTTTTAGGGCTTCTAAGCCTGGCAGCTACTGGCAGAAATGGATGGGCTATAAGCTGCCTGGTGCAATCACTCTTTGCTGTCCACTTGTCCAAGCTGTTATATGTGTTCTCTGGATAGTGGAATGGCCCTCATTCCCAACACATGGCCCTCGTTCCCATTAGATGGAGGGACCCAAGTGACCCTGGAGTGTGACAAAGGTTCCCTGGAATTTTTCTACACTGTTAGGATTGAATTCCAAGGGAAAATGTACATCAGGGGTAGGCAACCTTTTTGAGCCAGGGGCCGGGTTGCTGTCCCTCAGATAATTGGGGGAGCCGAAGCAAAATAAATAAATAAATAAATAATATTTTTTAAATTAAAAAAAATTTAAAATATGCATGCACACTCTCTCAGCCCCAGAAAAGCCATGACAAAATCCCTGTGAGGGATTTTGCCAAGAAAACCCCACAAACAAGTAATAACAACAATAATCATTATCATCATGATTGGATTATCATCATGACTGGAAGGCAGGCCCACAAACAAGCAGGGATGCATGCACACTGT